CTGAAAAATTCTGATATTAGTAGTTCGTTTTTACGTGACAAATATCTGAAAATTTCTGATAAATCGCATTTCGTTTTGTCTGAAAATTCCCGATAGTAGCAATTCGTTTCTCTGATATTTCGCATACATAGCTGAAATTTCTGAAGTTAGTATTTTCGTTCTCTAGGCATATTGGGATAACAATAGAAGTGGTCATATTCTCGGAAACTGAAATTATTCTTTTCTGAAAATCGCATCTCCATTCTATCTCGCAAATTTTTTTTTGAAAACCGAATCTTGCGAAGCCTACCAATATTGCATTAGGCATATTCGGAGGTTGCTATATTCTCAGAAACTGGAATTCCTTCTTTTCTGAAAATCGCATCTTACTCCATTTCGCAAATTTTTTTTTCAAGATCGCAGTTTGTAAAAGCCAAAACTTTGCGGCACCTAGCCTAGATCTCGTTCATAATACTCTTCTGACATATCCTACTCATCATAAATCGACAGATATATACAAAAAAAAAAAAAAAAGGGAAGTAGACTAGTAGTCCTCTTTTATTTTTTATTTTTTTATGTTCGGTACAGTGCCACGTCAGCAGCGCCACGTCAGCAGCGCCACGTCACAGTGCCAGATCAGCAGTGCCACGTCACAGTGCCAGGTCACAGTGCCACATCAGCAGTGCCACATCACAGTGCCAGATCAGCAGTGCCACGTCAGCAGTGCCAGGTCACAGTGCCACATCAGACTCAGTGCCACATCAGCAGTGACGTCAGACACAGTGCCACGTAAGCAGTGCCACATCAGCAGTGCCACGTCAGACACAGTGCCACGTAAGCAGTGCCACATCAGCAGTGCCATGTCAGACACAGTGCCATGTAAGCAGTGCCACATCAGCAGTGCCACGTCAGACACAGTGCCACGTAAGCAGTGCCACATCAGCAGTGCCACGTCAGACACAGTGCCACATCAGCAACATGACGGGCCTGCCAAGCCAACTGGCCAATGAGCCCATTGCCGACTACAAAAAGCGCGTCCATGCTCAGCTCGCTGCAATCGAGGCTGAGGAACAACGCCAGCTGGCAGTCAAGGCTGCCCAGCCACAGGCTGATGAAGCGGCAACAGCAGAGAAGCTGCGGCTACAAGCCGAAGCAGACGCAGATGCCCAGGCTCGCCGCAAGGAAGCCCAGGCTCTGCCGCAGCGGCATGAAGCCAACAGCATCGAGAAACTCAAGTACTGGCATTTTGAACCGAACGGCGACGAGCCAACACCGGAAGAGCATCATAAGGAGTTCATGGCCAAGCTCGTGAGCAGGTTGGTTTACACATGTAACCACCTACAGTCCGAGCTGGRAAACCTTCAGCGGGCCGTGCRGAACCATAAGATTCAGCACGAGGATGCCACACGGGCACTGGACGCCCGTATACTGGGCCTGGAACAGGCTGTACCAGGACCAGATGCTGGAGCTTCCAACTGGAGGAACGCGTTGACCACGTAGTGGCAATGCTAGGAGACATAAGTGTCTTCACAGAGCCGGCCACCATCAGGCAGCGGTTCGAGTTGCTGGACACTAAGATCAGTCAGCAACAGCAGACTGACCACAGTCACAACAACAGCTCGGCGAGGCCATACAAGATGCCGACGTTCCGGATCGAGAAATTTGATGACTACACACATCAAGACCCGGTCGTCTGGTGGCAAGGATTTACAACGGAGTTGGGGATTCACAAAGTCCCTGACCATCTGTTCATCAGTGCTCTGTTCATCAACACCAAGGGAGGTTGTCAGATCTGGCTCAGCCACATGGCAACTATCCACGGCGTCCAGGTTTCAGACCTGTACAAGAAGGTCTCTTGGGAGGACATGACAAAGAAATGGAAGAAGCGGTTCATCGTCGACGACACCCCGGCACTCGCCGTCAACCGCATCTTCACGATGGCTCAAGGGAGCACACCTACACGTGACTGGCTCACGGATTGGCAGAAAATCGTGGCGACGGCCGATTTGGACTTGTCATTTTCGCATCTGCGGCGTGAGTTCTACAACAGGTCATGCGCCGCTCTCAGCCTCGCACTTGGTGATCGCGAGCAGTACAGCACTTTCGCAGAGATCATCAACAAGGCGAGAGAGCTCATCAAGACTAACAGGCCGGCTGCACACGAGAAGTCCACGTGGCAGCCAACCTATGTGGAGAAGGTACGAACTGGTCCGCGACAGCAGCAGTTCGCTGCAGTCCAGTCGGACAGTGGAGATAACCCAACAGCCACTCCAGCATCAAGTGACGGAGATCAGGTGGCTGCTGTCCAGCCGCGAAGCAACAACAAGTCCCGCAACAATGGGAAGGCGAAATCCGCATCGCAAGCCGGAAATGGACAGCCAGGACAATTTCCATGGGTCAAGTTTGGCTTGACCGAGGCAGAGTTCAAGGTCCGCGGCCGCTACGGCAGCTGCTATTGGTGCAACAGCACCAAGCACAAGACCTCCTTGTGCCAAGATCAGCGCAAGGAGGATGTGCGACCCCGCCTCAGCTCGGGAAACTGAGCTCCGCGGAAGGTGAGGCGACTCCACCTTCTACTCCGCCAGATTCGGCCGCCTTGCTAGCGGTCTCCTGCACATCTGGGGAGGACCATCGGCAACCGATTCGGCAGCTTCGCCGCAACCTATCGCCGGGGATTCAACGTCATGGTCAAGACTTGAAGAGCTCGACCCATTGACGTTCACGGACTTCCAGTGGATGCCCGTTCCCTCGACCGGACGATTGCCGAAACCGCATTGCAACGTGCTTATGGCACAATTGCGGGACTACTTGCACACTGCAGTACCAGCTCCGTTGATGGACGCCGGAGCAGAGGTTGTCGACCTTCACGCTTCCATCGCGAAGATCGACCGCGAGTTCAAGACGCAACGGTACGACGACATCGACGCACCATTGCTATACATACGCATTCAGATCGGAGAGGCGACTTGCAGTGCCTTGATCGATTGCGGAGCATCTCGCAGCTACATCAGCCAGGACTTCATGGTACGCGCCGGCCTTGGCCCACGTGTCCGGAGGAAGTCCCAACCTACGCAAGTTACCCTGGCAGACGGTCATACGCACAAGTCCATCGATCGGTGCATTGACACCGTCCCAGTGTACTTTGTGCCTCACTTGCAAGTGAGGCGGTGTCCTTTGACATTCTGGACACCAAATTCGACATGATCTTGGGCATGTCATGGCTGCGAAGCGAGAATCACCCGGTGAACTTCTTCAACCGCACCGTTCACGTTCGTGATCGGAACGGAGTATTAGTTCCATGCACAGTGCCTCTTCCTCATCCTTCGATCAGCTGCCACGTGGTATCCGCCGCAAGCATGCGAGCTTCCATCATCAGAGACGACATCGAGGAGATGGGGGTGTGTTTTCTCCACGCCCTCCCGCCACATGATGCTTCATCGACGGACTCACCTTCGGATCCACGCATCACTGAACTTCTCGACCCCTACAGCGACGTGTTTGAAGGCCCGCACGGAGTAGTACCGGATCGACCCATCCGCCACGAGATCATCCTCGAGGACGGGGCCGTACCTCCACGCGGTTGCATCTACCGAATGAGCGAGGAAGAGTTAAGTGTGCTTCGGGCACAACTCGACGACCTTCTGGAGAAAGGCTGGATTCGGCCTAGCTCATCGCCATACGGTGCTCCTGTTCTCTTCCTCCGGAAGAAGAACAAGGACCTGCGGTTGTGCATCGATTATCGCAAGCTCAACGCGCAGACGATCAGAAACGTCGGCCCTCTCCCACACATCGACGACCTTCTCGAGCGATTGGGCGACGCCTAGTTCTTCTCTAAGCTGGATCTCAAGTCAGGGTACCACCAACTCGAGATTCGCAAGGAGGATCACTACAAGACCGCGTTCAAGACACGGTATGGACATTTCCAATGGCTGGTCATGCCATTTGGCCTTACGAATGCCCCAACCACTTTCGAGGCGGCTATGACGACAGAGTTCCGACACATGCTGGATCGTTTCGTACTTATCTACCTCGACGACATTCTGGTTTACAGCCGGAGTCTGGACGAGCATGTGGAACACCTGCGCACCGTTTTGGAGTGGCTACGACAGGCCAAGAACAAAGCAAACCGCGACAAGTGCGAGTTAGCACAGCAGGAGCTGGAGTACTTGGGACACTATGTGACGTCGCAAGGCATCCGTCCGCTTGCGGACAAGATTGAGGCCCTACGAGTATGGCCCAAGCCCACCAACACCACGGACGTTCGTTCATTCATGGGGTTGGCGGGCTACTATCAGCGATTCATCACCGGATACTCCAGGATTGTTGCACCTATGACGAGGTTACAGTCGCCAAAGGTGCCATTCGTATTTGATGACGACGCACACCGGTCATTCCAAGCACTTAAGACGGCTATGCTCATGGCACCCGTCCTTAGCATCTATGACCCCACCCTGCCGACG